CGGGAATGGAGTTCTGGGAAGTCGAAGAACACGAAGTGGCCTACAGTTGGCTCCGGGCATCCAAAATGTGGCCCGGGAATGGAGTTCTGGGAAATCGAAGAGCACGAAGTGGCCTACAGTTGGCTCCGGGCATCCAAAATGTGGCCCGGGAATGGAGTTCTGGGAAGTCGAAGAGCACGAAGTGGCGTACAGCAGGCTCCGGGCATTCAGAATGTGGCCCGGGAATGGAGTTCTGGGAAATCGAAAAGCACGAAGTGTGTGACTGTATGCGAAAAACGATCCCCCCCGGCAAACCCCAACGGCCCCCCAACGGCCCCCAACGGCTCCCCAACGGCTGCCCAGACCCCCCTGTGGAGTAATGTTGGAGTAATGTGCTGCTCTCTTTTTACACCATTAGAAACCTATCAGTCTTCGATGTTAGGTAAAAACACGACTGTCGGCATGCTTCGCAAGAGTTGCTGCTGTGAGATGGGCTGGTGGGGATACGCGAAGCGTAAAGAATTCACTCACAGACGAGGCTCCCGCTCGAGACCTCCTTCATATTCAAGCCTCAAGAACCCAAAAATGACGACAGTTACAAGGTTCCGATGACCCGCTCGGATTAATAACATGATCTGCGGGCCCCATAAGGAGGGGGTTCCCGCCTGAGACTTCCTCGCAATTCACTCAGAGACGAGGCTCCCGCCTGATACTTCCTCCATATTCAGGCCTCAAGAGCCCAAAAGTGACGACAGTTACAAGGTTCCGATGACTTGGTCGGATTAATAACATGACCTGCGGGCCCCATAGGGAGGGGGCTCCCGTCTGATACTTCCTCGCAATGCACTCACAGACGAGGCTCCCGCCTGATACTTCCTGCATAGTCAAGCCTCAAAGGCCCAAAAGTGACGACAGTTACACGGTTCCGATGACCCGCTCGGATTAGTAACGTGATCTGCGGGCCCCATAGGGAGGGAACTCCCGCTTGAGACTTCCTCGCAATTCACTCAGAGGCTCCCGCCTGATGACGAAATGGTGAGTGAGCGAATGATGATGATGATGATGATGATGATGATGAGTGTGTCATGAATGAGTGATGATGATGAGGATGATGATGATGCTGATGATGATGAGGATGATGATGATGGCCACTGAGTGGGTGATCGAGAGATTATGATGGAGATGGTGGCGATGATGTTGAGAGTGGCGGCGGTCCTACCTTCGGACGACCACTGCCTCCGAAGCCTACTGAGGATGAGTGAGTAATTGAATGAGTGAGTGGGTGATCGAGTGGTGATGGTGGTCACGATGGTGATGGGGATGATGATGATGACGAGTGATGACGGTGATGGTGGTTGATGGTGATGATGATGGTAATGATGATGGGTGTGTGCGTGTGATGACGATGATGGCGGTTGATGGTGATGGTGACGGCGATGATGGTGAGTGAGTGAGTGAGTGAGTGAGAGAGAGAGAGAGAGAGAGAGAGAGGGAGAGAGAGAAGAAAGGGGGTGTGTGAGATCCTGCGCGGCGCGTGCAGAGAAAACAAAACCCCACTTTGGATGTGGGGAAGAACAGGATATCATGGGCCCTCTGGCCCCAGTCCAAAAGTCTGGTCCTAAGCTCTTCTCTCTAGTCCCTCCACTCTCTGGTTCATTGCTTGCCCCTCACATACCCCCTATAGTCAAGCCGCTCCGATAAGGCATGCGACATAAGGAACAGAGTCCTATGTTGATCCCAACAGCGCTGGGGTGCAGGAGGAAGGCTAGCAAAACAGACCATGCAAGACGACATCGAGTTTGCAGCCACTTATTAGCCTTTGTTCAGCCTGATACAAACATCCGAAAGGCCGCTGCGCTCTTACCGCTTATCCTTCGTGTTCCCACGAGGATCCAAAGGCGGCCCTGGAGGCCTTCAAGACGCGCGTAGGCGACTTCCAAAACGGCCGCCCGAGAGAGTTCCAAGAGGCCCCCTCGACAACAGTCCGAAGAGGCCCCCAAGGCTGTGCGAGAAGCGTTCAGGAGGTCCACGGAACTGTTCTGAGACGGCCTAGGAGGCCCCAAGCGGCCAGAGAGGTCCCAGCATATTCGTAAAAGACCTACAAGGGCCGCGACACTACAGGATGCACCTCCGAAGGAGGAAACCAACAATTACCCGAACCGCCCCCCCCCCCATCCCCTCCCCCCGACCTCCCCATCGGGTAGCTTTTTGACCAGAGCCCCACAGCGAATCTAGTAGCCGTGGCGGCGAGGGCCCCCCGCGAGGATCCAAAATTGCAGAAAGAGGCAGTGGTGGCAGTATCGGTACAGTCTCCTCCTCTGGGCTTCGGCGGCGTACTTGGAGGAGGGGGTGGAAAGGGGCGGGCCTCCTCGGAAGACTCGGAAGTTCTAAGGGACCAGGGCAATTGCGACGCCATGGGGGGGGGGGGGGGGGATGCAAGGGGCTCTCAGCTTGCGCCGCCATCTTCGTCGGCGCCATCGCTGCCAGTGAGATGAAGGCTTACTGGAGAGCAGCGCTCCACATTGCATTCCGGAGATCTCCATTTTTGTTTTTCTGCATCCACGAGTTCAGAGTATCCAAATAATTCTTCGCACAGCACAGTGCAGTGCAGTGGCAGTGGCATAGAGACAGTCTCGTCTGCGCCTGCTACGCTCTCTCTTCGCGCCCCAGTGCCGACCAGAAGGTTGCGCATCGCGAGCAAGTCTTCGCCCGGGGCTACGGTCCAGGCACCATCTCTGCAGTCTAACGAGCTAGACGACCCTGGCGGAAGAAAGGTCTCTAATACGATTCCTCTTCGACGTCGGCAGCGCGGCAAGCGTCCTCTAGGGCGCCAGGGCGAAACCCAGGGCGCTAACTCATCCTTCTCGGTAACCGCAACCTCTTCCGACCACGAGTCGGCAGTCCCGAGTGCCTCCTGGGTAAGAGGAGGGCGCCTTGAGGCCACCGCCGCGTGTTTTAATGCTTGAGGAGCCTGTGCCTCTGCCATCAGGTGCAGCCCCTCCGGACAGCGAGTTCGGAATCAGTCAAGCTGGGCGATTGCAAGACCTGAATGCTCAATTTCGTAATTGGTTCGCCTCTCGGACGTCTGCGCGCGGAATCAAACTGCACCCAATGGCGCATTTTGCGATTGTAGTTGCCAAGCCGGCTATCGATCGCCCGCCCGGTCTTTTCCTGCACTGCGATGCGTCGCACAGAAGCACGTTGGCTGACAGTGCATGGGTGTTCGCAGCCACAGCGGTTGCTTGCGCAGTCGACGCCTGTTATCTGGCCTTCGAGAAAATGTCGGCAGCGGCCTCCACATCGAAAGACTTCCACGACGATGAGATCACGAGCACCTCGATTGAACTTATGGGTTCTTGTGGTCTTTTATGTGGATTCTAGGGTACGACGGGCCTCAGCTGGAGGGTATCTCGGGACTTGCGTACATGCCGTCTCTTGGGATCTTCTGCGACAGCGAGTCCGCGGTTAGGATTGCTCTTGGGCACGGGGTTCCGCATGCCTGTGCGCAACTCGCATATCGAACGTATCATGTGTAACAATGGGCACGCCGCCAGCATCGGGTTGCTCTGTGGCACATCAAGGGGCACGCACAATCCTTGGAATGAACTTGCAGATTCGATTGCGCGTGACCCTGCAGCGTTACCTACCCCCCTTCCTGAGCGTCTGCGCACAGCCTTGCGTTTCTGCAGAGACATGGACTGGTTGTGGCTGCAGCGGGCCTCTCAGAATGTTCGCGACGCGCATCCTGTCGGTCCCGATGGAAGATGGAAGTGGGAGGAGGTAAAGTCTTTCGAATGTCAGCCCCCCCCCCCCCCTTATCGCAGAACCTATAATCAAAAAGATGCCAGAGAAACCCGTCGTCATCGAAATGAAAGTTGCCACGTCCAATGCTACCTCTGCGAGAGAAGCGCCGGCCACCGCTGCGAGGCCAGCTCGAGTTGCAGGAGATATCATCAAGCAGCAGCTCAGGGGCGTCAACATCAACATCGCGGGGGCCCACGAGACGCGAAACCCAGAAGGCGCCGGGAACTCCACGGGATATCTCACCATCGCCTCGGGGGCTCAGAAAGACAAGAATCTAGGAGTCGAACTCTGGGTCTCGACGGAGCAACCGTGCGCAGAAAAAAAAAAAAGACGAGCAGCTCCTTCCCCTTCAAGCACTTCCCCCCCCGTCTACCTCGCCCCGCGCCGCCTCTTCGTAAGATGTTCAGCGCCGCGTTAACGTGCACATTTGCCGTATCACGCACACTGCGCAACGGGGTCGAGTACACGTCAGAGCAGAGAGAAAGGTGGTGGGGGGACTTGCAGCATCTCGTGCGCAGGTTCGGTGCCAATTTCCTTTTTGGGGGTGCGAATGCCAGGCTAGGGGGCATAACTTCAGCGGCGGTCGGACAGTCAGGGCACCGCCAGCCAGAAGATGCATCAGGCTCGTTGATGCATGACTTCCTTCTCGAGACGGAGTTGGGAGCTGCCAACGCGCTGGCCCCTTCACTCACAGACGGCATCTCATGGATTTCTCCCAAGGGGCGCAAGCCCCATTGCATCGACTATATTGTGTTGTCAGATGAATGGCCCCAGGCAGCGATTGACACCGGCACGATGCATATCATGGATCTCAACCTTGACTGCCAGGATCACAAGCCTGAGGTGGTCTCTATATGTTCTAGAAATACAACTAAGTGTAACTCCCAAAAGGCCCTCTTCAACAGGGGCGCCCTCGGGAACCCAGGTCAGGTCAACGCGTTCAAAGAGACCCTCCAGATGGCCCCCATCATTTGGGCCGAGGTAGACTTTAACATGCAAATGAAGGTGGCGATAGGGACTATGTTGGAAGCCGCGCACATCGCGCCCCCGCCCGTTAAGGCGCCCCCCCGTCAGGCCGCATGTCTCCGTGGAGCTCCTCGAAGCCATCGAATTTAGGCGGCAAGTTCGGCAGGCAATCAGGGGCTGGCGCCAGAGCAACCCGAGTAGGCCACATGCCATGGCATCTGCACTTATGTCGCGCGTCGGCCCCCAAGGACCTGAAGACCTCCATTGGGCATTTCATTGGGATATCTTCTTGGAGGCAGTTGAAAGTAATTATCTTGCAGAGCTCCCAGCGCCTTGCCTCGCAGGTGCCGCCGACGCCTTCCTGGGCTCCACCCGAACCGTGCCCCGCTGGCTCCTAAAGGCTTCGAAGGTCCAGTTGCTGGGGGAGTTCGCGCAGCATTTGACGGCTGCCAAGGCCTCCCGCGCCAGCAAGGTTGAACGGCAAATCACTGGGCAACTCATGCGTTTTGGCGGGCTCCAGAAGAAAGCTGCGCCAGCCGACATCGGGATTCGTTCAGATGTGGGCGGTAACATAGTCATGGATCGCCAGCAGCTTGCACGGGAACTCACTGTATATTTTGCGGGACTTGAGAGAAGTGACACCATTGCCGTGGAGCACCCCACGGAGCGCTGCATTACAATCGGATGGTCTGCGACATATTGCGACAACGTTCTGCTGACATGGTCATGCCATGCCGCGAATTATTACACATGATCATATGCTCCCAAACTGGCCCCAGGACCAGATGATGCATCGATGGATCTCTTGAGAGTAGCCCCAGAACATGTCGCTGACCTGCCCCTGCCGCCCTGCGCGAATCTCAACCTGAACTCCAGGGGGCCACTTGGCTTCAAGGGTGGCTGGCAGGTGGATCTCTCCAAATCTGGTAACGCGCCCCCCATCATCAACTACAAGGGCATCATGCTCGGCGCGCGCATAGCCAAGATGCGCCGCAAGTTCCTTCGCACTCGTACCGTAGAAGCGTCTACCATGTTGATTAACTAGTTACAAATGGGAGGATTTGCACTGAAAAGAACAGACACAGCTTCTTTGATGGTGGCCTCAGCCGCTGCTGCAGCGAAGCAGAGAGGTCACGCCATGCTCATGTCGTCACAGATCTCAAATCAGCCTTCTATCATGTCGTGAAGGGCTTTCTGCCGAGACATGCTCAGAGCACTGCTCAACTGGAACACGCGCTGGACGCCGTGGAGATCGCGCCGGCACTGCAGCCGCGTTGCGACGCTCTGATTGTGGCTCCTGCGCTCCTCGGCCAGATCGACAGCCCGCACCTCCTCGCTAGTGCGGTCGACACACTCAACAGCATGGTTTCAGATCAAAGGGGCCAAACAAGTTGTGCAGCCATCGGGAGGTACCAGACCTGGAATGCCTTTCGCTGATGAGTTGTTCAATATTGCCTTCTCTCCAATCCAGTGCAGCATCAACGATGGGCTGAGCACGCTGAACCTCCCGCAGACCTTTGAGGTACCCCACCAGAGCCCCAAGGCCGAGCTCCAGAATGACCACCAGGATGGCACAGAAGAACTCTGGGGCCCTTCGTGCGTCGACGATCACGTGTCCGTTGTTGAATTTACCTGGGCCACGAACTGTCAAGAGGTTACATAACCGGTAGCCGCAATAGCCCGCGAAGAGGCCACGTCAAGGGGGTTCGCAGTAACTTACAAACGTGGAAGGTCCGAGCTCCCCCCGCCGCTCTTCGGAAAAAGGGCCATGCAAAGCCCGTCTTGAATTTGCACGCAACCACGAGAAAGGGATCCAGACCGGGGCCAATGGGATCACGCTGGCGCTCACAACTAGATACAAATACCTTGGCAGTTATCTGGGGCAGGGAATGTCTATGGGACCCGAAGTTGCCCGTCGTTGCCACCAAGCCCAAGGGCCCCTCGGAGTGTTAAAGCGAACCGTCTTCAATGACAACGCCCTAGATAAGAGCCACATGTTGACGTTCGTGCACAAGTGATGCACACCGCACCTGTTGCACAACGCGCATGTGCGGGCTGCCTTAACGAAGGTCCAGAATAAAAAAAATCGAGGCGCACTTCGTGGCACCAGTCAGATATGCAGCTGGTTTGAGATTTGATGGTCGAGCGGCTCAGAACGTGTTTGCACACAAACTACTCTTGCATATGCGACAGCTACCACGTGAAGGAATCATTCGCAGGAGGAGGCTTCGCCCGCTGCCACGTCGTTTAACTTCTGCCCCTCCTGTTGTTTTCGTCCTCCTCGACATTGTATGCAACGCGTCAGGCACATGGGCACAACTGCTCTTGCAGGATTTCGAGTGGCTTGCTGCTAACGTGTCTCTCCCCAAGTTCGTGGGGCCACTCGGCCCGCCTCGCGCCTGGCGCGTGCTCGTGCGGGAAAAGGGAGTGCGCTTTTGGAAACGTCTTCGCCGTCAAGCTGAGCGTAACCTCTTGTTTGCAGCCAGTGCCGGTATGCAACGCACCGCAGGGGCAGATGACCTCAAGCATGTGTGCACCATGGCTGGCCAGCATCCGCCTTCTTCCGTCGCTCCTCTCCCCTTTCCGTCATGTTTTGGCCACGCCGTGAACGTAGTGCAGCTCTCAAGACCAAGGCCTCTTGGCCAGCACACTTAACAAAGTGTCACCGACAGTAAGAGCTTACTGGCCAATGCACTATCGGTTCAGTTTGCCAATCATGTTGCTTGGAGTTCCACGCGAGACCTAGACTTCTTAGGCATCCCCGGCACGGAACCCCGAATGCCTCGCCAACATAGTTCCGGTGCTCGCTCCCGTGCCTCAGACGCTTTCGCAAGTAGCGGAAGAGGAGGATGCCATTCTTGCGCGCAGTGTGCGTCAAGCAGGCTACTAGAATGAAGAGGACAGGCTGCCCCCGTTGCCACGGCCTGGGCCTGGCTTGAAAAATGCGGCTTGCGTGCTAGGTCCCCCTGAGACCGTGCCGCAGGCAATGTGTCGGCCTGCCCCCTTTGCAACGAAGGCCAATAGAGTGGATGTGCCTGCGACGCCATCCTTTGTTCGCTCGTACGTTCTTTGTGTCACGTCTACGTCACGCTCCGCTGGTGACTTCCAGTGGCCATGCGACGACCTTGCACAGAGCGAATCCTTGGATATTTGTGTGCTCGCTGTCCCATTGCAGAGCTTGTCACGGCATGCATGTAGATCACACCTGCTCGAGCTTATACATGCCAAAGCAATTGTTGCAGCTAGTGGTCTCATTCGGTGTCGAACGTGGGAATATCGTTGGATGCCGAAATGTAGTCCTAAACCCACGCGCTCACACTTGAGACCATGGGGCCAAGTTGGTCTGCCACCTCGTGCTGCCGACTCTGTATCGAGCTCCTACGTGTTTTGTCAGTTCATGCTGGCAGCTGTAGCAGCGGCGAAAGCAGTTCAGACGCCAGCCCTCGTGATTGCCAACTGCCAAGCCAGGTTGCCACAGTGCCCTACCATGTGGGACATGCCAGAGGTCCAATAGATAACCGAGCATGCTCCCACACGTGATTGTGTACTGCCAGACACAGACGTCTCAGATATTCAGTTGCGGGTTGCTTCTCGACGCTTCCCTCGCGCTGCCATGTGAGTGTCCCGATGAGGTAGCAGTGTCGCGCGAGTGTGAGCTTGTATCGACGTGGTGCTGGCCCCAAGCGTTGACACGTCATGTTGCGACAACTGTTTGCAGGGCCATATCTGGATCGGTTCAGGGAGAAGCGAATCCAGAGGAGGGGGAGGAGGAGGAGGAGGAGGAGGAGGAGGAGGAGGAGGAGGAGGAGGAGGATGCGTGGGTGCCCGAGGCTGGGGCACAATGCTGCCATGCCTCCGTGGACCCATATGGCCCGTGCGGGGGGGGCCTTGCTGGGCCAGGCCCCCGCGCGCGCACCTGCCCCGTTCCGTTGCAGGAGTTGTACATCGCAGACATCATTGAAGGGGCCCTGGGACACACAAATAAATACACACAACTAAAAATATTCCCCATATTTTCCCATATTTTCTGAGTTTGTGTCTTCCCCCCCACTTCCCATATTTTCCCGTATTTTCCTGGGGATCGTCGATTAATTGTGTCTGTGTGTTTTTTCCCTCCTGAATCATGTCCGCAGCCTTTTTTCAAGAATGGTGCCACACGATGTTCGCACGGCTCTTTCGCCCGATCCCCCCGCTCTCCTCTCGACCGTCCGCCCTTCACCCGACCACAAAAAGGCACCAGGTCACAGAATTCAACGCACGCGCGCTTCGCACAGGCTTAGATTCTCCGCATTCGTCCCCGTGACTCTCATCCACTCCGTCTCCCCTGCCACCCCCAACAAAAACATCCCATCTTCCCTCTCCTGACCTCCCTTGCCCCCCCCCTGTCATCTCGCCCCCTCCACCTGGATATCTGTGAAGGTCCACATGAGCTGCCTGCACCGCTGTCTTCGTCCACCGGCTGGCGTATACTGGTTCGCAAGCAGCCCATGAGCGCTGAATTTCCACCCCCCCTCCCCCCACATCCAGACACACGCACACACGAACACATGCTTTAGCAATGCGGGCCGATAACGAATGAATAAGAGCTGCGAGGGCATCCACCTGTATGGCTAGCACCATGATTCGGTAGGGTTGGCCAATGTGAGACGGCGTCGCACTTGTCGCGAAGACCTTCTCATAGACCGATTGCCCACAGGATTACACACTAAAATGCAAACATCCGCCTGGCGCACTCTTCTCTGGTCGGTCGACAATGCGTGTAAATTGTACGAAAATCCATTAGAGTTCGAATTCGATATCGATCGCGAAATCGATGTCAACTGTGTGTGTGCGTGCGCGCGAAATGCGGAACGAAACACGTGATCTCCCCACATGGGCGGCATCAGACAGCACTATGAGGAACCAACTCGACTGTACATTCGAACAAGCACTGAGAAAACGCACGCCTAAGTGGCTGGCGACATGCTTCGGCACGATCAGCCATATGACACGACGTCGCACTTGTCGCGAGCATTATTCTCGAGGAAGGTAGCTGACTAAATCCATGGCGTGGCTTCGCGAAGGCAGGTCTGACTCGACACGGTGCACTCAGCCTACATCAGAGTAACGATTCTATGGAACATCGCAACTGGTGAGACTTGCACCGAGGAGGAGGAGGAGGAGGAGGAGGAGGAGGAGGAGGAGGAGGGGATGGAAGTGCCAGGGAAGGATGATGAGCTGGCCCAGGACTGGACGGTAAATCAATCAACAAGGATGCAGGGAGGAACTGAAGTCACATGGAAGGTTGCAACCACAGGATTATGCGTTTGAAGGTGATTTCGAACAAATCAGGGAAGACACACGCCTGCATGGCTGCTGTCATGTTTGGCACGACCAGACAAACGATACGACGTCGAACTTGTCGCGAAGCTTCTTGGAGAAGGACACCGACTTAGCCCATGACATCGCACTGTGAAGCCAGAAGTGGTTGACACGGAGCACTAAGCGCGCGCCATCACGATAACGATTAATGAACAGGAGTACCTGTTAGCAAATGATGGTGGGCATCTGGGGGGTTGCTGGGGGTCTTGGGTGCCATCTTGGGGGAGGAAGGGGGAGGGTTGGGGGCGGGGGCATCCTGATGTCGCATCATTGGCTACTCGTCGCACTTCCTTTGACCATATTGGGCCGTCCTGGGGGCCTCTCAAGACGTCCTGAGGCCACTTTGGGCCGCCTTGGGATGCTCTTGGGGCCCTCTCGGGCCATCTCGGGCCAGTATGGGGGGCGCCTTGGGCCGCAGTGGATTTCAGACGCCTAGAGAAGCGAGAACGCCCACCACAATCAAAAACTATATGACAATCTACGATGTTTGCCTTTAGGGGCAGTCTTGCGAGTCTCTTAGAGCCGCTATCGCGCGTAATGAGCTGTCTTGGGGGCATCTGGGGCGATCTTGTGCCGTCCGAAGCAATGTCTTAGCTGTCTTGTGGGTCTCTTGGCGCCAGCTTGGGGCCGTGTGCGGCCGTCTTCACCTATCTCGGGATTGAAAAAGCCTCATTTCAGCAGGCAGGAGCCAGGAACAAACCTTCAAAAAATAGAAGGGGAACTGCCGACGCTATCGTCATCTAGACCTGTCAGATCGCCTTCCTGAACGCCCTTTGAACGTGCGAAGGAGACCTGCCGGCGGCATCGCCGTCTAGACAGAAGTCTGGATAACAGCGAGCCAGCAGTAGCTGAGGATTCTTTCTGATTCAGAAGCAATGTATCGGAATGGCATTGCGATGGGACCAACATCCGTATCAAGACAAGGGTTACAGTCTGCAAGGCTGTACAAGTTAACTGCGCTTTCCAAAAATTTTGGAATTGGCCACCCTCATTCAGAGCACCTGTCGGCCTGACGTTAAACCAATCAAGAACCTGGGCGTCGATACAACCCGCAAGTTGCATTCCCACGCTGTAGCAACTCACGAGCAAAGCGACCACTGTCGACTGCATATTTTTTGGACACACCCGTGACATCAGCATCACGCCGGGAATGGATTGCATCTGGTAGATGACAGACAACGATGCGGCACTACCCATCACGAAGAGGACATCCGGAATGCCAAACCAGAGATTGGCTCTAGAAAACAAGACCACATCAAGCATAGAGAGAAATATTGCCAGCCCAGATGTGATCATATACACGAACTGGTAGCTCCTGTCCTTCACAAAGGAGCTAAATGCCGCTATACCCAGCAAGCACATCACAGGCGACACGAGGCCAAGGACTGTAGAGTAGAACTCTGTGGAGAAATGTGGTCCAGCTAGATATTGGCCTGGTGAATCTGTAAAGAAGAAGAAACTTGCCCCGCCAAGGGATGGTGTGCAGACTGCCTGCATCAGAAAGAACACCGCAACTTTTGCGATCTCTGGACGCAACACCAAACTGAGCGATAGCACCAGGAAGGTCAGTGTGCCCAGGGCTGCAACGAACATGATTTTGGTAGAGCTACACACCATGCATAGTATGGACAACAATGTCGTTGACACACCGATGCAAAAGCATAGCCCGATCACCTCTCTCTGGTCCTTCATTGCCGTTCTTGCGCGAGACACTGACTCGCGGCTTACAGGGATCTCTTGGAGGTGATTCCTGAGGGCGGGCCAAATCATTGCAGCAGCAGGGAGCGAGCACATCAAGAACACGTTCTTTGCTCCAACATGCATGAGCAGCCAGCCTACGGCACCGACCGCTAAGATGTTACCACAGCTTACACATCCAGACACAAAGCTAACGAGTTCGGCTCCGAGCTTGGGCTTGTCTTGCATGATGCCTGTGTACGCAGACTCTGTGAGCAGGTCGACGGTGGCAGCTTGGACATGGATCGCAAAAAGGCTCGCTACGACACATGCTACACTCGTCGATCCTGGCAGAGACAAGCCCAGTACGCTGGTTCCGAGTACGCCCGCCAAGGACGCAGCCACGATGTAGGGAGCTTTCTTGAAACCACGAATGGGGTACATATCTGACACGAGACCGATAAGGGGTGTGATGGTCCAAGGCATGTGAGCGACGCTGGTGAGAATCTGCATTCTTGGCCCATCAATATTGTACTCATTGAGAAGCCACCAAGTTGAAGATGTCTGCAGTTGCGTTGCGATGCCTTTCAAAAGGAAGTTTGCGATGCCAAGGGCAAACAAAAACTGCAAACCATAGTACTTTCGTAGAGTTGCGAGCCATCTCCATGGACCCAGCACAAGCAATGAGGTGCTTTGACAAAAACGACTCACGCATGAAGTGCACCTCGTCGACCTTACAAGCCATTGATTGTGAATGGCTCTGTGCATTGGGCTTGCCTTTCCTATTCGTGCTTGGATTGCTTGGGAATAGCTATGTGCCCGTGTGGTCGTGGCAAGCACGGGAACCATCCTTCCAACCTGAGCCAAACTGACGGTGGAAGCAGGGAGGAGACGGACGAGGAGGAGGAAGAACAACAACATTCAATTCAGTATATCGCCGACTGTGAGCATCCGGAAATCTGCAATCGAATGGGTTCAAGTCTCGTATCAAGCAAGACCGACAAGACAATATCGTCGCAAATTATACTACGCGCAAAAAGGATCGCGTGCGGCCAGACGACACCAGTACCACGCTAGGCGTGGCCAGTGTATGTGTGATTATGCAGACGGTGAGCGAAACACTGACCGCTGGAAGAGATGCTGGGAGGCACACGAGATGCATCGAATAAGAGAAACAATGCTGGCGCGTGCAACGCTGGGACTGGAACACCGCAAACCTTCTATACGCAAGCCAACGCCCGCCGGCCCCTCGTTGATAGGATTGAGAAAACACGTGATGTGATTGGCCATCCTCTCTCCCTGGGGGTGTGCCCAGAACGCAGTTTGAGGACAGAGGGGCGGGGGGACGAACTCCTCAGCGCATGTCCAAGGCCCTACGGACCTCCACATGCACTCTCGGATGCCTCCAAGATGCCAAGAATGCCCTCAAGGACGGCTCCAGAAGGGCTCCTAAACTGCCAGTAGGCCAAAAGAATGCTCCAAGTGACCACCGAGCCTCCCAAAGAAACACCTGAGACCAACCAAAGCAATCAAACACTGCATGATTTTCAATAATTTGCGCCTTCTCGATTGTTCGCTTCCCATACCCTTGTGAAGCCTCAAGATGGCCCCAAGATCTGGCAAACAAGCGCAACCATAGCGTCCCAACGGGGCCCCGAAACTAACGTTCGGGCTCCAGTCGGGAGGAGGAGGAGGAGGAGGAGGATTTAGGACCCGCTCTTTTTTGGAACGATGACCTCCAGGATTGCTCCAAGAAAGCCCCACGGCTCCCCTAACGGACCCTGAAACGAAAAGCACATCTTCGAATACGGGAGCCACGCTGTGACATTTGCCTATCCTCATGTCGGGTCGGAATTTGGAGGCCTGGAAATGGGCACCAACACCAACACAGGGGGCTGCCTCCACAGGGGGAAGATGATCCTAGGTTTCGGTGTTGGTGGTAATCTTTCGGTCATCTTGGAAGCCAGAATATTACCACCATCACCGAGATCGGGATCTTCTTCCCTCAGTGGAGGTACACCGCCGATATTGGTGTTGGTGTCAACCTCTAGGCCTGCGAATCTTCGAAGACGGGAGCCACACCATGACATGTGCCTATCCTCGTGTCGGGTCGGAATGGCGTACTCCAGATTTCGTAATAGAAGGAGGGGGGTCTCATTTCGGGGGGGGTCTCCTCCAGGCCATCTTGGAGGGCCTGGGGGGGTCTGAGGACGATGTTTTGGAGGGTTCTCCCACGGGGGAGGTCTGAAATGGCTTGTCTTGGAGGGTCCCGACCCCCTCCCTTTTATTACGAAATCTGGAGTAACCTTCTTGAGCAAATACCCACATGACCGTCATGGAGCCACACTGGAAAACGCAGGCGGGTCGGAAGAAGCAGGTTGACACAAGAAGCGGGCAGGGGTTCACAGTATATCTTATATCGTATATCGACTGTCGACAGCCTCCCAAAACCTAAGGCGAAAGTGCACAACTTCGACTCGTAGAGTAGGCTTAGAGCAATCGCACACTGCAAATTAACTACAATCCAACCATAACAGCTTCAAGCGATTGACGAACGTAGCACGGTACGAACTATCGCGGGCGAGCGCATTCAAATGAACTCCCAAAGCTACGATCATGGACTAAACTAGCGCGGAATATGCTTACGGTGTGCTCCACTTCCAGTACAGACACTCCAACTTGAAGGACTCTGCTACTTCAGGTGAAGACAACTAGAGACCCCAACGCGATGCCAGCCTAGAAAACCTCTTCATTGCTTCAGCCAGTGCCTCGTATCCATGTGGCGTTGACGGTACAACCCAGCTCATCATCATACGCGAAGCTCAGCTCACATACGACGACAACTGCTGCTGCTTCGCCATCACTGAGCCCGTACTAGGCGTTGCCCGTCTGGCATGGTCACACAGACCTTTGCATGCGCTGTATTGTAGCCCTCGTCTAGTGCACGTGGTAGTGACCCAGACATCCGGCTGCTCCATTTTTGTTCGATGCGTGTGCCCCTGAGGTATCGACCACTTCCCTAGGGCCGGTTGATTGTTCGTCCCGAATCATTTTCTGACGTTCCCGAGGCTCGGCGAGGGCACCTGGAGGCCGAAGACAGCCGCCCAAAACCGCCCGCTCCATATCTTGGAGCGTCAGATATCTGGGTTGTACCCCACGTCAAGTGCACGTGATAATGACACCGCGCCCGTGAGCAACCCAGTCGGACGTTTCAAACTTCATCTGACGCCAGCACGGAAACACTCGTCCCAGACTCGCAGGCCCCCTTTCGGGCGCCATGCTGTGACAAACTCCATGCCGGGCTGCTGCAATCCTGGCGTCTCGTGTACTACTTCCCTCGTCCTGCAACTCGTTTTCTCCCTCGCGTTCTTCAGTCCTGCATCTCGCTTCTCTCTCCTTTCTCCTGCATTCCTCTCCTCCCGCTTTCCTCGTTGACTTCGTCCTGAATCTCGTTCGTCTCTATCTCTCTTTCTCTCTCTCTCTCTCTCTCTCTCTGTCTCTCCTCCGGTCTCCGTTTCTTGCCACTGTCTCCTAGGGGGGGGGGGAGCGGCGCGGCACCCGTTAAAACCCCTGAGCTCAAGCCCTTGGCTACCGTCCCCCGAGGACTCCGAGCCCAAGATGCCTCAAGATGGCCTCAAGGCTCCCTCAAGACGGTCCCCATGATACGTACCGTCCCCCGAGGACTCCGAGCCCAAGATGCCTCAAGATGGCCTCAAGGCTCCCTCAAGACGGTCCCCACGATAACCTGTCACAGAGCCCCAAGACGAGCTGCCTCCGAAAGTAATCGAACACTGTGGTTTGCGGGTGTGCTGGGCTGTCGCCTGTCCCTGGTTCGGAAGGTGCCCCCAGTCCCTCAGAGGTTCCAGTATGAGGAATTCCCCACGCGAGCGACGAAAAAAATTGGGCCTTAAGCGCGATGATATAGCGGTCTTACGCCGCGGCTTACGCAGGCCACAAGCGCGACACGCCGCAGCGGAAACGAGGGCGCTTACGCGCGACCTTACGCGGGCAACTTACGCGCGAATGTCGGCGCAATCGACCCCGATTTGTTTCGTCGCTCCACCGGTCCCAGGATCCGCCACCGTGGCTCTGGCGCGAAATGGGGTGCCCCACGTCCCATGCAGCACGGAGAGGGCTACTCCAGATTTCGTAATACAAGGGAGGGGGTCTGGACCCTCCAAGACAAGCCATTTCAGACCTCCCCCGTGGGAGAACCCTCCAAAACACCGTCCCCAGACCCCCCCAGGCCCTCCAAAATGGCCTGGAAGAGACCCCCCCCCGAAACGAGACCCCCCTCCCTTTATTACGAAATCTGGATTATGCTGCTGCTGCTGCCACCATAATAGGTCTTTCAGGGCTCATGCCAATCGCTTCCCGGAGCGGGCCGGGGCCCACCAGACTCGCTCGCGTCGCCCCGTCCCGCCGAGGGGGGCCCCCAACAAGAGCCCAGAATGGCTCCAGCAGGCCCCCCGAATGGTCGAAGACGCCTCCAAGTCGCTCCAAGATCGATCCAAGACGCGCAAAATAACCTCCACGGCCAAGCAAACCCGCAAGACTTCCCAAGGGACCTCCAAGAGCACCCCCAAGAGCACCCCCAAGAGCACCTCCAAGAAGAGTACCCCCAAGAAGAAACAACACGTCGTCCCGATCCCTTCAGGGAAACCTATATGTTTAGCATATTCACCTGTTCGGCTTCGACAGCGCCCACAACGGCACATGAGGCCCCAAAGATCGTTCCAAGACGGCCCAAGAGGCC